TCCGGTTTGACCTTCTGCTGAGAATTTGCATTTCCACCCCAGATGCACTGAATCAGAGTCTACATCTCAACAAGATCTGCAAGTGACTCTTATGTAGACGTAGGGATCTTCTTAAAATGGAAAGTCTGACTCAGCACATTCGGGGTACTCCCTCAGGAGCTCTGGGGGTGAAGTGTCTAGGGCATTGACTGCTGACGAGAAGGCTGGCGGTTCAAACCCACCAGCCACTCCTCGGAAGGAAGACTGGGCAATCTACTTCCGTAGTGATACTGCCTCGGAAACCAAGGAGGGGTCGCTATGAGTTGGGTCTGACTTGACGGCACATAACAACAACAACATGTGGAGCTCTGGTGGCGTAGTGCCTAAAGCATCTGACTGCTAACCAGAAGGCTGGTGGTTCAAACCCACCAGCCACTCCTCAGAAGGAAGACTGAAAATCTACTTCTGTAGAGATACCACCTCGGAAACCCAAGGACGAGTTGCTATGAGTCAGAAAGGACAGAGTATATGGGGTGGAAATGAAAATTCTCAGCAAGGGGTCAAACCAGAATGTACCTCTTGGAAGCCTGACAGGAAACCCTCCCTTGTCTGGAATAGACCTCACCCCTCTCCTCTACCTCCTCCATATATGAGGTCCCCTCTCCTCTCTCTCTCTCTCTCTGCCTGGTACCCAAACAGAGCTATGGAAGACAGAGACTATGACTCACGATCCCTTTTTTTTGTCCCTGGCTCTATGCCAGATCCTGAAAGATTTTTAACATGTGCCTCCATGTCTGTTGACTGAATGAAAGCATGACAGACCAGGAGGCTATCTAAGTCATCATCTTTGGACTTAATGGAAGATATTCCAAGTGTCTGGGCACTGAAGAATCTTACTTAGATTGGAAAGAGCTCTGTGACCTCAGAGGTGAATAGTTGTCAATGGGAGACCTAGCAAGGCTATTAACTACCACAGGGAGGTAGGGGAAGGAGAGGGAGTCAGGCAGCCCCCCACAGAGGAGGCTGGAGGGTCTGTGAAGCCACAGAGAGGGATTCTGGGGGTGCATATGGAGGACCCCCAGGAAACAGCAGTGAGGGGAATGGTCCAGTCACAAATGCCACCTCTTCCCAAGCTCAAGCAGGTCATCCAAGTCTGGACCTGGGGGCTAGGGCCCCAGAGACTGTACCAATCACTGCCCATTGAGTCTCCCCCCTCAGATCAGTTCAAGAGTTTGACCACTGCTTCCTGAAGCCTCCTGTGTGTCCATGCTGGACTGGGTCCAAGACAGACAGGATTTGGTCCCAGGAGACTCTTCATTTTCCACTTCCCTGGCCCCTTGAGAGCATCTCCATGAAACACATCTGGGGGAAATAGATGCCCAAACTTCACCTCCTTCTTGAGGAAAGTAGGTGAGTGGCAGGGTCTCAGCAGATGAGGAAGGAAGGAAGACCCACCCTACTGTGGTCTGGGCTGAGAAGTGTTCATCTCTCACTTCCCCAGGGATGGTCTGGGGGGAGGGGGAGGGCTACTCGTAGAGAGTGAATTGTGTCCCCCCGAAAGTCCTTGCGCCTGCATATATGAGTGTGATTTTGTTTGGAAGTAGGTCTTGCCTTGTTATCAGCGAATGAGGTCACACCAGAGTAGGGTGGATCCTGGTCCCTTCTGAGTGCTGTCATTATAAAAGGAGAGAACAGATACAGAGACAGTGTCACACAAGGGAAGACGCTGTGTGAAGATCCACCTACAAGGATCACCCACAGTCACTAGAAGCTGGGAGAGGGGAATGGCACCGTTCTCTTTCAGAGCCTTTAGAAACGGTAGACATGGGTGACACCCTGATTGAGCCCTCCCATCTTCTGAACTGTGAAATGGTGCATGCCTGTTCTTTAAAGTCACTGGCTTTGTGGTATTTTGTATGAAGGTCCTAGAAAACTTAGGCAACCTTTCTCGTTGAAGGATAAATTTGGAACAGAAGCCATGAATTTCAATCCAGACAGTACCCAGCTCTTCTGTCACCCCACAGTGACCTCCGACTTCCAAGAAGGGAAAGGCTAATCAGATGGTGTCAGGGCGAGCCTTCAGCCCAGAGGTGCTGCTGGGGCTTCTGTTGGCCCACCTGTGAAAGTGAAAGAGGTCTGAGGAGGAAGGGGCTGCGTGGGGCTGCATTCAGAGCTGCTTCTCCCAGTGCGGTCCCTGGAGGACCATGCAGTTGCAATCTGTCCATCCTTTGGTCAGTGATGGCAAAGAGGTCTGAGCGTCCTACAGCTGCCCATTCTGCAGGCCAACCCCTGGATTTTCTGAGCTGACATTAACCCACTCTACACCTTCCGATGGCCAAGAGACACCACGACCCTCCTGTGGTCACAAACATCATATCAAAATCTGCAGGAGTGGACTCTCTTGAATTGTAAACATTAGTAACCAGTTACCTTATATGTCTTAATAATAATAAGCCCACTGTCATTGGGTCCATTCCAACCCATGGCATCCCCCATTGGGTTTCCAAGGCTGTAAATCTTTATGGAAGTAGATTGCCTCATCTTCCTCCATGGAGCAGCTGCTGGGTTTGAACTGCCGACCATATGGTTAGCAGCCAAATGCCTTATCCAGTGCTCCACTACCTTATTGTTTTATGAAGGTCCTTGGATGGTTGCAAACAGTGCGCACTTGACTACTTACCTAAAAGTTGGAGGTTTAATCACACCCAGCCACACTCCAGAAAGAGGTCTGGAACTCCACTTCCATAGGGATTATAGGCAAGAAAATCCTAGGAGTAGACTCATGGGGTCACCATGAGTTGGAATGGATTTGATGATAACAGGTTCATAGTATTACAGAGACATGGGCTGTATGAAAATGAAAAATGCAGACAAAACACAGTCCCACCACTCAGACATCACCACTGTTAATACATTCGTGCATATCCCTTTCAGATCTTTTTTTCCAGAAACATACATTTTTTAAAAAATGTGACCATCTAGCACATATAGTTTTGAAACCTACTTTTTTCAGTTAATGATCTTGAACTTTCCATCTTAGTAAATTTTCATCTTGTTTAGTCCTCTGTCCACATCCCAACATAGTCACAATTTTCCAATGGACCCCCAGATGTCCTTTACAATGTTGGTCCTAACCAGTAAGGCATCCAGGACTTAATGTTGTGTTCAGTTATTACATTCACGAGGTCTCTTTCAGAACATGCTTTTGATGTAACAAACGAAGAAACATGGAAGAGAGGACCTGGGGTCCACTCAGCCCCCTTAGGAGCCCAAGGACCCACAGCTGTTCTTTCTAAGCATCAGATGTTCCATGATGTGGGGAAGCAGGACGTGCTCCTTTTGAGTGAGGAGAGAGGTGCTGGGAAGTACAGTTCCCAGTGTACGATGCTCTCTCTGAATGGGATGTGGCAATGGGCCCTCAAGCAGAAGCCCTAGAGGGAGAATGTGTTAGTTTCCCAGGGCTGTTGCGACACCACACGGCAACCTGTGTGTCTTCAGACAACAGAGATGTGGTGTCCCACGGGTCTGGGTGCTGGGAGTCCAAAATCAAGGCGTTGGCCATTTCGGTTCTTTCTGAGGCTCTGAGGGAGACTCTGTTCCAAGGCTCTCTTCTGGATTCTGGTGATGGATGGATGGCAATCTGGCATTTCTTGGCTTAGAGATATATCACTGGAGCTTTGGCAGCTCTGTGGTTAAAGCATTCAGCAGTTAACCAGAATGTGGGCAGTTCAAACCCACCAACCACTCTGCAGGAGAAAGATGAGGCAGTCTGCTTCCATAAAGACTGACAGCCTTGGGGACCCTGTGGGGCAGTTTCACTCTGTCCTCTAGGGGCGCTGTGAGTCAGAATGGACTCCACGGCAGTGGGTGTGTGAGTCGGAATGGACTTATGGCAGTGAGTTTGGGGTGTGGCTTTTTTGGAGTTTAGATGTATCATTCCAGTCTGACTCCATCTTTACATAGTCATCTTCTCTCTCTCTCTCTCTCTCTCTCTCTCTCTCTGTATTTCTTTTCCTCTTTTGTAAGGACACCACTCACTGGATTAGGACACAGTCTACTCGGGTATGACCTCATGTGAACGTAACTGATGACATTGTGAAAGACCCTATTTCTAAATAAAGTCATGTTCTCAGGGACCCGGGGTTAGGAGTTCAAGGTATCTTTTTTTGGAAAACAATTCAACCCATAACAAGACCCTAGTCTGTGAATGAATGAGTGAAGCATTGCTTTCCTTACCTTAGTTGAATCATTTCCTTCTTCTGTCTCTGATACTCAGACCATCAAGAGTCCCATCCCTGGCCTGGTGAGACCCCCGAGGCTGTGGCCCCTAGCTACCCTTCAGGTCTGGAACTGAACTCACTCCTGTGGCTTCCAGCCAAATAGACAGGCCTATGGGGTGAACATTTCCATCAGGTAGATACACTCCTTGGAGTGGGGCACTGTTTGCATAGGAGGATGGCCTGGGGGTGGGGGGACGGTGGGGGGCAGGAGTGCATGGGAGGGAAGGACACAGGGAAGAGGGTACCTATGGGGGTGAAGGAGGAGGTGGGAGGGGAGCTGTGACAAAACATGTATCAACTGCTGTATGGAAAATGAATTTGCTCTGTGAACTCTCCCCAAAATCACAACAAAAATTTAAATTAAAAAAAAAAAAAAAGAGTCCCATCCCTGGCAGGCTGACCTTCATCAGGGGCCTGAGGCTGTGACTCAAAGGGGCCTGGCCAGAAGAGACCATTGTACACAAGACCAAGACACAGGACATGGGGGCTCTGGTCTTTCTTTGCTGCCTTACATAAGGCAAGCGCCCTGCTGCCTCGGAGCCTTGGGGTTCATCTATGACGTGCAGAGATAGAGTCGGTTGGGCGCCAACAGTCAGTCCCAGCCAGTGGCCCATGAGTCTGAAGTTCCTCTTTTGTTCTCACTGCCACCTTCCTGTCCAGGCTTCCTGTGAAGCCTCGCACCTGCAGCTCTGCTTCTCAGAGAGGCACCAGAAGGCAGACTGTCCCGGGCAGGGGCCACCCATGCCGCCACCGCCGCCGCTGCTGCTGCTGCCCCTGCTGTGGGGAGGTGAGTGGGCTGCGGGGCGAGGGCTTCTGTTCAGGCAGGTTCCGGGCCTTGAAGCTGAGTTTCTCCCCCCACCATCCTTCTTCTGACAGGGTCCCTGACTCAGAACTGGGCGATCCAGCTGGAACTGCAGGGACCCGTGATGGTGCAGGAGGGCCTGTGCGTCCTGGTCCCGTGCTCCGTTGACTTCTCCGTTTCCTATGTGTATTGGTTCCGGAGAGGGGCCAAGATCAACTCTGATCACCTAGTGGCCACCAATAAACCAGGAAAGAAACTGGAGGAGAGGACCCAGGGTCGATTCTTCCTCCTCGGGAAGCCCTGGTCCAACAACTGCACCCTCCGCATCAGAGACGTCAACAAGGCAGACAGTGGAACATACTTCATTGCATTGGAGACATACGGTTATATGTACTCATATGTAGATAAGGCATTCTCTCTGGAGGTGACAGGTATGGCAAGGCCCAGGAAAAGACCCCAGGGTGTGATGCATCAGAAGGAGAACAAACAAAGGTGGTTCTGCTCCTCATGGGGGTGGGGACAGTCATGACAAAACCCCGAGGCTGGCTGACAACAGGCTGTGGGGTTCTCATCTCCCCCCCTCTCTTCCCCAGCCCTGACCCAATCACCTGACGTCCAGATCCTAGGGACCCTGGAGTCGGGCCACCCCGAGAACCTGACCTGCTCTGTGCCCTGGGCCTGTGTGCAGGGGACACCCCCCATCTTCTCCTGGAACTCAGCCGCCCTCACCTCCTTGGGCCCCAGGACCCACCTCTCCTCCGTGCTCACCGTCTCCCCAAGACCCCGCGACCACGGCACCAGCCTCACCTGCCAGGTGTTCTTCCCTGCAGTTAACGTGGCTGTCGAGAGGACCATCCAGCTCAATGTCTCCTGTGAGTGCCGGGTGGGGATGCCCAGGTGCCTGGGGGTGTAGGGCCATCGTGGGCCCGGGCCAGGGCTTGACATCTGGGACCTAGTAGCCAAGTAGGACAGAGCCTCCTTACCTGTTTCCATGGCTCCTGGGGGAAGGCCCAGTACTCGTTTCTCCCTGTGGATGATGAGGCTGCCACATCTTCTGTTCCAGATGCTCCACAGGATTTGACCATCAGCGTCTTCCAAGGAGAGAACACAGGTAGGAAAGAACCACTCCCCTCCGGTGCTGGGGTGGAAGTGGACATTCTTCCAGCTCGAGACAGACCTTAGGTCTCAGAGCTCCAATTGACCAAGGACTCCGTGGGAGTGTGGGAAGCCATCTAATGAGGGCGGACGTGGGGAGAGCAGAGGGAGAAAGCCCCACTCATGCCGGCTCTTGGAGGTCAGTCTTTGGCTTACCCACAACTCTCTTTTACTGATTCCAGAGGAAGCTGCCCTGTCCGTCTCGCTTCATCATCCTTGATGTTTCCGTAGGGTCTCCCTTGGCCCCAGTAACTGCATGTTTTCTGTACCGTCTGCCCCCCACTGGTCAGACAGAAAAAAACGGACCAAACTCACTGCCATCAAGTTGATTCTGACTCATAGTGACCCCTTTTGGGTTTCCCAGGTGGTAAATCTTTACGGAAGTAGATCACCCAGCCTTCCTTCCATGGGGTGGCTGGTGGGTTTGAACCGCCAACCTTCTGGTTAACAGTCAAGTGCCTTAGGCACCAGAGCTCCTTCACTGGTCAGACAGCTGGGGCAATTCCAGGAAAATGATCTGAGCCTCCTCTGAAGCCTGAAGCCTGAGCTCTGCCTCCCTCCGCAGGGCTAGTGTGGACACCACGGGGGAAGGGGGACTCTGGGCCTGACCCTTGCAGAGGGAGAGGCACACTCTCTCTCTTGCCATATCCCTCTCCACTTCTCTCTCACGCTCCGTATTTGTCTCTTTCTTCATCTCCCTCTGTATGTCTCCCTCTCCCAAAGCCCTCAAGATCCTGGAAAATGCTTCATCTCTTACCATCCTGGAGGGCCAGTCCCTGTGTCTGCAGTGTGCTGCTGACAGCAAACCCCATGCGAGTCTGCAATGGTTCCGGGGATTCCCAACCCCGAACGCCGCCCCCATTTCCAACACTGGATACATAGAACTGACTCAAGTAGGGACCGGAGAGGAAGGAGTGTTCACGTGCCAGGCTCAAAACCAGCTGGGCTCCCAGCTTGCTCTTCTGAATCTCTCCATTCACTGTGAGTTTGGAGGCACCTGGGGCAAGGACTCCATGGTGTTAGAGAGGCAAGAGCCCCCTGCTCCCTCCTCACAGGTCCCTCCCAGCTTCTCAGCCCCTCCTGCTCCTGAGACAGGAGGCTGAGTGTCTGAGCTGCAGATGCCCTGCCTGGGCCCAGCTGGCCCCTTCCCTATTATGGTGGCTTGGGGACAGGCTGGTGGAGGGGAACAGCAACAACCATTCCATCATGGTCACCTCCAGCTGTGCTGGGTCCTAGGTCAACAGCCCCCTGGGCCTCAGCACAGGGCTGAGCCCTGGTCTCAGACTCTGCTGTGAGGCCCAGATGGCCAGGAAGCCCAAAGCATCATTGTCCTGCTCTGCCCGTGTCTTTAAGGGAAGAGGAGCCTGGGACCTAGAGAGAGGGAGCTTGAAGGAGAGGCAACAAGGCCAAGACAGGAGTGGCTGGGGATAAGACTCTCAGCCTTTTGGCTGATGGGAATGTGTGGTGTATCGTAAAGAGACTTACCCAGGGTCTACAGGGCAAGGGGAGGCCAAGAAACAGTCCTATCTGGGGAGCTGACTCTGACGGAGGGCAGAGAGGAGAGGATGGTTGGGAGAATGCCGGGTGTTGGGATTGGCATTTAATGAAACCTTGGATTACCTGTAGGGAAAGCAGAACCCGGGTCTGGTGCAGAGGCTCTGGGAGCTGTCGGAGGTGTTGTCATGATAGCCCTGCTTTGTCTTAGCGTTTTCCTCATGTTCAGGTGAGAGGGAGTGGTTCCTGGGCTAGAGGGAGATGCCTGGGGCGGAGAGCGTATGTAGGTTGTACAGTCTGAAACCCATGGGGACTTGAGAAGCCCAGGAGCAAGAGAAAGCGATTTGGTGATGATTCAGATCAACCTGCAAGCAGTTGACTGAATGTCGGCTCTCTCCCCAACTTCTGGTCCAGCTCTTGGGTTCGGATGAGCGCCTGGGCGCTTGACCCAGCTCTGTCTATCCCAGTCACCATTTCTGCGCTCCTCAAAGGAAATTGGGGGGCGGTAGACCTACTGCAGGCCCTAAATAACAAGACTGAAAGGCCCTGGGCTCTTCCCTCAGAGTCAAGAAGACCCAGAGGAAGGAAGCGCCTGGGACAATGGAAGGCATGAATGATACGAACCTGGTCTTGGAGTCAGTGTTGCGGGTGAGTGATGGGGACGGCTGCCATGCAGCATTACCGCCCTGCGGCCCTTCCCTGTTAGCATCCCACACTCGGCGTTCTCCCTCCGAGAGCCCCACGTCTGGAGTTGTTTCATCTCAGTCTCGGTCCTTGGACTCTGTAGATCATCAAGTTCTGTTGATGGGTGTTTCCAGACAGATTCATGCTGGTCTCCTTGACCCAATCCTACTCCTGTGCTTACTTTCTTTCCTGTCTTCTCAACACAGGCCACCAGGACAGTCTTTCAGGAATAGTTAGTGTCTAGTCCCTCCATACTTTGGCTGCTTTAGACGTGTCTGCTGTCTTCCTATTGTTGGAGAAGACTCCAAGTGCTTTGGCCTGGTCCCAGTCTCTTTCTTCCCCTCCATGCCTTTGTGTTGATGAAAATGATGTCCTATCTTTCCCTCTGAAAACCATGGCAACCCCTTCCCAGCAAGAGGTTGTATGTCCCTACAGCCCAAGGTCTACATCCCTGTTTTGTGAGGCCCACCGTGTCATAATTGCTAACTCAGGCCTGTGCCCCTCCACACTGGGGTCTCCCCAAGAGTAAGGGCCAGGTCTGATGTAGATCCCTGTGGTCTCATTCAGTGCATTCTGTTCCCATCACCTCTCACATGCGTTGCTGTTATCAGATGCCATTGAGTCGATTTCAACTGATAGCGACCCCATGTGACAGAATAGAATTCCACAGAGGATTTTCTGGGCTGTAATCTTTATGGGAGCAGATGGCCAGGTCTATGTCCTGTGAAGCCACTGTTG